GAGAACACTTCAATCTCTCTGGTCACGCGATTACAAACATGAAGGTCGCTATCTTACAACAAAAAAACTTCAAATCCAGACTCCAGCGAGAAACTGCTGAATTGGAATTCATTTGCAAATTGGATACTATTAATTTAGGCTTAAATAGAGACTGGGAGTGGCTAAGTCATTATGCAAGGTAGCCTATTTCCCCTTGTTTTTTCCTACCCCCCGCCCCCAGACATTCTGGTTAAACTTGGATTTAAACTTGGAGAGTGGTCAGTTTGGATGAGCTATTGCCAGCAGGAGAGTGAGTTTGTGTGTGTGTGTGTGTGTGTGTGTTTCGGGGGGGGGTGGGGGGTGAGAAAGCCTGGATTTGTGCTGGAAATGGCCCACCTTGATTACCATGCACATTGTAGGGAGAGTGGTCACTTTGGATGAGCTATTACCAGCAGGAGAGTGAGTTTGTGTGTGTGGTTTTTGGAGGGGGGTGAGAGAACCTGGATTTGTGCAGGAAATGGCCCACCTTGATTATCATACACATTGTGAAGAGAGTGGTCAATTTGGATGGGCTATTACCAGCAGGAAAGTGAGTTTGGGGGGAGGGGGGGGGCGGAGGGTGAGAAAACCTGGATTTGTGCTGGAAATGGCCCAACTTGATGATCACTTTAGATAAGCTATTACCAGCAGGACAGTGGGGTGGGAGGAGATATTGTTTCATGGTTTCTGTGTGTATATAATGTCTTCTGCAGTTTCCATGGTATGCATCCGATGAAGTGAGCTGTAGCTCACGAAAGCTCATGCTCAAATAAATTGGTTAGTCTCTAAGGTGCTACAAGTACTCCTTTTCTTTTTGCGAAGACAGACTAACACGGCTGTTACTCTGAAACCTACAAAAGTTTTATTCTCCTGCTGATAATAGCTCATCTTAATTAATTAGCCTCTTACAGTTTGTATGGCAACTTCCACCTTCTCTGTATATATTATATATATATATATATATACACACACACACATTTATCTTCTTACTATATGTTCCATTCTATGCATCCGATGAGGTGGGCTGTAGCCCATGAAAGCTTATGCTCTAGTAAATTTGTTAGTCTCTAAGGTGCCACAAGTACTCCTGTTCTTTTTGAGGAGAAGGAATAGCAATATGGATAGGGAAGGGAAGGAGAAAAGGCAAGAGGGGAAGGTGGAGGGAAGCGAGAGTAAAGTTACAGCAGAGAGACTGTGGTGGTGGGTGGAGGGAGTTGGAAAAATAACCACTCAGAATCAAAACACAAGAAAATAAAAATTGTAAAACAAAAGTAATAATGTAACTTGAATACTATTATGGCCCACCCCGGCACTGGGATTAGTGTGGGGGAACCCTTATAGCCACTGATTCGAATGGGACCGTGCAGGAGCATGAGGGTCCATTCACACTGGTCCCTTTGCAGGACTTAGTTTGTGAGATCTGGTGAGATCACAGATGAGGACATGGGTACAGGCCCTCACAGAGGGAATCAGTATAGTCTGCTGAGTCCATAGGATGCAAATTAAAACTTTACAGTGAAATTAATCAACTTTAGAAACCATCTAAGGGACTCGCAAAAGCCAGCGGTCTGTCACAGGTGGTTTATAGCAAAAGGTCAAACAAAATTATGATCCTTATGGTTATTTAAAGTGGTTTCTTCAGAGAAAGGACTGGCTCTGATAGTTAGTCCTTATTTAGTGCAGGTTTCACTACACATATTTACATGATAGAGTGTAACAAGCGTGAAGGAATATTCAGAAGAAAAGTAATTTTGTCTGACACGTATTAGTCCAAGTTTCAGCCTGGAGGCAATAATTATGATCAAATTATGCTAAACTCAGCTGGAAATATGGATTTCTTATTATAGCCCTGACAGACCTTTAACTCATCTATATCAAGTGTCACTGTAATGACAGTATATAGAGCCAAATTCTCCACTTAAATACGCTGGTCTAAAGGAGAGGAGAATTTGGCCCTTTAGAGTGTATTCTCTCAGTAAGATTACTCTATGATCACATACAACAAAATATGCTTACTGACTGGAAAGAGAATTCTTCTGAGTCTAATTGGAAGCCAGCACATAATGGACATTTTATAAGTGTCAGCATTTTAACAGTAAGTTTTTGTAGATTTTTCCTGTGGATCTGGAACAAAGCAGTCCCAATTACTAATAGACATCTGAAAATGTTAACAGTAAAGACTCAATAATACTTTGGAAAGTCATTTGGATCCATTCTCTGTTTGAAAGAAAACGGTTAGGAATTATGAGCTAAATTCTCATGTACACTGGTGTCAATCCAGAGTGATTGTAATGGAGTTATTGCAAATTTACTCCACGAAGACTGAGGATAGAAATTTGGCCCTGTGGTCATTTCATTCTAATGGTCCATTACATTTCTATAGTAAATAAAAATCTAATCAAAATTGAAGAACTGCCCATCAGAAGATTCAAAACTTTTACAGACACCCCCAAAGGGCAAGGACTTTTATTGTACTGTGACTTGAATTCTGTTTTAATAATACAAAAATAAAACTAATGAAAAAAGTCACCTTAGGCCAAATCCTACCCTAGGGTTCATGTTTATAGCTTGCACCAACTTCAAGGTTTCTCCTACTCACTAGATTGTGTGATAAGTTAATTCAGTGGTAAGATTTTTAGAATTCTGGATTTTTTTTCTTAATAATAAATTAGCAGTGAACTACACATTTATTATTCAGGAGGCTGTTGGCCCAGGAGTTCAGCAGTCATTACCATAGGGGTCATATGCCTTCCCCACTGCTAACTATTTTTTTTCTCAGTATTTGTACTTAATATACATTGTTGATTCACTGTTCAGTTTTTAGTGAGTATGGAAGGTTACAAGAATGTTTCTTAGAACTGCCAAGTTATATATTGATTCCGCAATTATATTTCATTTTGGGGTTCCTTCTGAAGTTTGTCTTTTTAAATACTGTTATATTTTAAACATTCCAGAAAACACTTCTCTTTTACAGTTGAACATCTAAATATGTGGTGGCACTTCAGTTTTTCCATTTTCTTGATTTCCCTAATTGTTCTGGGAATCATAAATTCACTCCTTTGGATTGGCTTTTCATCAATTTCCCATTATGCCTTTAAACAGATGTAAACTTTTCAATTTAATTGCTTGCAAATACAGAAAAAGCTTTTTGTAAAGCCTTACGCTCTTCCATCTTGCAGGAACACTACCATGAGAAAGAATTCTGCTGTACTACTGCAATAGGACACATGGGAATATGATGTTTTTCTCAAGGCATTTAGTGATTAATGTGACTAAATTATTACTTTTTTTCTGTTCACTGATGCAAACCAGTTTCATCACTGAGATACCCTGACAGTGATCCAAATATTCTTCTTCCTTTGGGTTAGTTGGGGATGGTCTAGTAATGATGTGAACTGTAGAGGGAACATGACCTAGAGGAAGCTCATCTCACCATTAATTCACGGAAGATTTTTGGTACCCAGGTAGCCCTAGCTGTGTGGGGAGTACAACATTATATAGATTACAAAGGAGTATGCTACATCATGTGGTCATATAGATAGGCTTATAAGAAAAGTACCCAGGCCGCTAAAAGGCAGTGATACTGCCAGCTCTCTCAAATCCAAGTCCTGAAGTGAGATCTACGCAGATGAACACTTTCTGCCACAATTGTAGGATCAGAGCCTTAGGGAAGAGCTAGCAATAGTTCTGCAGGTTTATGGGAGCTTTGTAACTCATGTCTGAAATACTCCTAAATATAGAGATACCAAGGAAGCAGTAGTCAGGGCTACAGGAAGTTGAGATGACCTCACCTAGTACTTTTAGAAAATGTACTTGTATTTTGAATTTCTCTCATTTTTCATCTGATGCTTGTTCATCCCTTCTGTATGTGGAGTTGTTTTCATTCAAGTTATGAAAGGCTGACTTGGTCAGTGATGTTCCTGAGTTCTAGTAAAATGGAAAAATGCCCCCATAAAGGGGTTCACTCACCATATACGCACCTCCCTGTGCCTGGCATAGCAAAGCGGTTGTCCCTATATGGAGCCCCTGCGGAGGTTGCTTGCTCACTGCAGTGGTCTCTCTTCTTGCAGTTTGGCCCTCCAGGCAAGTCATGCTTTAGTCCACCCCTTCTGAGGCAACAGAGTCCAACCAAACTACAGTCAAATGACCTTACAGGTGTCTTCCAGCAGTCTCTGGGCTTCATAATCCTTATACCCCTTACTTCAGGGCGTTTCATCCCACCTTCCTTGGTGGCTGGCAGGGAAGCCTAGGTGATCCTAGCCTCAGGGACCCTGTAGCTGGCAGCCAAGGTCTACTCTGTCAGACTCCTTACGGCCTCCTTGGACAGCTTCTTACTTCTTCTATCCCTCAGCGAATGACTACAGATTCTCTCCCTGCTATCTCTTTCTACTACAAACTTCATGGCTTTATAGTCATCACCCAGGCTCTCCTCAGCTAGGCTTCATTATCAATTAAGTCTGGCTTTTTCTCTCTTGCAGGTGCTGCCAGGTATGTTAATTGGCCTCTCAGGCTCATATTAACCCCATCAGGGCCTGTGTGGGGTGCACTCCCCTTCATAACTCTCTTAGAATCAGATAAGGGGTGTCTCTTTTAATACAGAAATACTTCTTAGGAAGATTCTCAATGCTTTCTTCTTCATATTTTTCTTATTCTACAGAACTGTAATTGGCTAGACCAATTTTGTTTGTTACAATGTGCAAGATTTGTTTACAAAAAATCAGACATGAAAAGGCAAAACACATGGTTTCTCCTCATTCGCTTATACTTACATACCCAAACAAATCAATTAATATGTTTAATGCACTATGTGTTCTTCTAATGGGCAACAACCTTTACGTACAGTGATATTAAACTGCCACTATGACCATTATTTCCACTTCCTGTAGGTCACAATTGTTAGGTATACCACTGAAATAATGATCCCTGTAAAATTATGATAGCCACATCATCAGCTAAAAGACTCTCTTGATTTTTCTACATAGAAAACATCCTTGGTCTTTCATGGATTTAAGGCAGTAATGGAGCAGCATCTCCAAATATAGGGGAGAAAAGAGTTCAACACAAAAGAAAACCAAAAAAGATGAAACCCATTGGTTCTTGAAATGACTGCTGCTTTTGATTAATATTGTTTTAATAATGATGGAGCTGGACACTACTGAGGCACCAAAAAGTCACCAGACAACCCACAGATACCTCAAAGAGAGAGTAAAACATGTGGCCAATGATATCAATGAGTGAAGGCATCTCTATTATAGCAGTGCCATTCATGCTATTAGAGATCATATGTCGGTGTCACCTCTGCATCTAGGAGTCATTAAGGCTATAAAATATTGCTCTGAAACAATCTTTGAAATAAAAGGTAGCCGTGCAGGAGGAGCTGATTTTACAAAATGCTGAATGAAACTCTGTTTTCCCTTGGTAAATATGTTGTTTCACATCTCTTGTCCCTTCACATACATTCTTCTGACCACCTAACTAAAATAAAGGATGAGCATATACTTTGTTCAGAATAAAGTTTGTCTGTATATTAACAGGTGGAGGGTGCTTCTATCTTTCCCTTGTTTCCTTATTGTGTCAAACAATAAACCACAGGCCAACCTTTTTCATTCATAACCTTAAAATTCCCATTGTTTCAATAATTCTCTCTTTCTCAACAATACCAGTCTATACAGTATCTAATAAAATCCCTCAGCGGACGCTATCGCATCTATCCCTAACCTATCTGCCTATTACAAATTATATGAAAAAAGTAATGCATAATTAAAGTTTGTTTTTTAAAATTTTCTCACTCTCTTGCAACTAAAATAGTTTAAAAGAAACCAACCACCTGTGTAAGTGACTAGTCAATAACAAATTATGCCATTCATATCCATAACAAGTAAGATTTTAGGAAACACATGCTGTTAGGTACAAGAGAATACTTTGATGTGGTAGTCACTTTCAATCAATATAAAAACCCCTAGAGTCAGAGGAATAAAGTATTACATACCCTGTGGCTAAGAAACATTGTAAGGAAGAAACAGACAGGCAAACAGCGTATTCACATATAAAATACAGGATTGACTTTCCTTGTTCCAGAAATCTGTATAAGCCTAAATTTTCCCTTGTATTTTAAGAAATGAGTGTAGGACTAAACTGTTGCACCTCAAGTCATCATCTGAGAAGAAGAACCATTCAAACAAAAGGAAAGTCACTGCCTCTGTCATCCCCACAGCTTGTTATTCCACATAAACTCACTCTCATGGCAGGCACTCTTATAATAAAAGGCACAAACAGAAACAAATCTATGATTATTGTATCAATACCAGACTGATTTCTTTGTGATATTTTTCCAAAACAACAGGACAATATACTTTTGCGTGTGCGCAACTTTACCATCACTAAGAACCAGCATGAACTTCTAGTAGGTCACATCAAAGGCGCCTCTTTTCGAACATGAACAAGGCCACATTTCATGAGAAATCTTTGAAACCTGAGTGTTATTTTAATTGCTGTTTGTTGAACCTCCTTCAACAACAATTACTTTTCTTTCCCATATATACCAGCACTAATCTGAGTTATAACCAAAGCCTAATAAAACTAGAATAACTGCATCTTTTCCTGCATTGAGCTGATAGATTTAGAGATTTTTCTGTAATAATTTCCAATATCAGTCCTGCTGTGGTAGGCATTATAGCAGACACATCTTTCTGTTTAGTAAATATCTCTTCCTTTGTTCTTACTCCATGTTCATTACCACCAAACTGCATTCACATGTGACCGTGTCTGTAACGGGCCAAATTCTGCCTTCAGATATGTGTTTACAACTCCTATTAAAGTCAATAAGAGTTGCACCCATGTACTTTAAGACAGAATTTGGCTAATTGGTACTAATTGTTTTTTCCTTTGACTGAACCATTCCTGACCTGACTACTTATTTACAACTCCAGTACAACCATGAAGTACCATTACCTGCATCATTTAATAATAAGCAGCCAAAGTTCCAATACTGGTCCTTTAGGACTTCAACAGAAACTTCATTCAAGCATTTAAAAAGTTTGAAGTCTGACTTCATAATTCCTCTGGCTAATAAGATGTCTTTCTATATACTACAAATATTTCCATATATAGTTCAAAATGTATAACTTAGTCACCACACTCTTAGAAAATCTCAGACCTAGCTGGAGGGCATACAGTATCTCTTTTGATTCCCTGAAGACTTTCCATAAAAGACACACACCTCTGCTTTCAGAACACTTCCATTTTCTTTCCTTGAGTATGCTCAGCTTTTTCAAATAACTCTTACAATGTAGATTCTTAAGATGTTCTCCAGAGTTGGTGTTAATTCAACAGATCTGTAAATCCTTGGTATAAATTTAGGCCCCTTGTAAATATTTTACATTGCACAAAGTCATTCCAGCAATATGAGCAACAGCAGGAAGATTTCCTAGAATGGGGTTAATAAGTTAATTTGAATATTATTTAAAATATTAAAAGTTGTGACCATAAATGTAGCTCTCAGAGAGGTACAGCAAGCACTCTGAAATATGTTTAATTTCAATCATCCCATTGTATTAGGAAAGTGCTGGAAGCCTCATCACTGGCATACTTTAAAACTAGATTGGACAAAGCCATTGACACTATCTGGAACAACCCTACATTGGGAGGGGGGATATGCAAATCACCTAATAGTTATTTTCCATCTTTCCTTGAGTATGCTTTGTGATAATGTTATGATTCAGATAGCTCCTTCTATACCTGAAGCACATCAGGCTGTGATCCAGTCTGATCTCACAAACAAAGATGGGTTGAACCTAGCTAGGAAATGTATGGAAGTCCACAGGAAACACATGCTACAGGAAGCAGTGTTGGAGACTCAATAGTCTACACTCTGCCTTCTAAGGCAGTGCTGAATCAATGCCTCAGTAAGATGATGAGTCCACAGTGTGACTGCATGGAGATGTCATATTTTGGATGAGATACCTAATTTTTGACCACTTGTATCGTTAAAGATTCCATGGCATTTTTCACAAGACTAGAGATATTCGCCCTGGTGGCTTGGCCAGTTGAAGCGGAGTAATTTATGTTCTGCTTACATAAAAATCTCCCTTATTTCAGTTTGTTAAAGTATTCTTCCCTTTCAGTAGTGCACTAGTGTCACTGTCTGCCATTGTAAAGTTACAGACTTCCACACTACAGGTAGCTGTATTTCAGTGGTAAGTGAAATGATTCATAAACCATGTAATTCCTCTAAATAGTTGTTCATTCTTTTAATAGAGTACTTGGAAATTCCAAGTTCTCTATCAGTCTGGAGTCTCTGGATTTAGTCAGAATCATATCTGTCCAAATAATACAATTACAATACATTCTTTTTGGCACCTTGTATTTCTTTTAATAGAGATTTTTTTTTCTGAGTTTTCTAAATAATGTGGGAAGGCAACATCACACATTAAAATGGAAGGAAACAGGTTGAGATCAAAAGAAAATGCTGAAAACATTTCTGAAAAGAAAACAACCGCTGAACAAGAAGAACCTATTAGTCTATAAGCACATTGTGAAACTAGGTAAAAACTTTGATCTGTTCACAAGTAAAAGTTTATTTTCTTGTAGAAATTATATACCATGAATCAAAGAACAGCTGACATGTCTGAAATAAATGGGCACATTCCCTATGCTCAGTGTCCCAGTTTGTCTTACTGAATAATTCATGTTTAAACTAGTTTCCAATTAAGCTTGTTTCTTTTTACTCTTCGGGCATCTTTGAAGCTATAAGAAAACTGCCTCTCTAGTTTCGCCTCCAAAGCAAACCCAGGAACAGGTATGTGACTACAGAGAATCTGCAGCGACTTCCAGGCATGGTACTGCTTGAGACCATGCCTATTGCAACCCAGGAATACAGTTTCAATATTCATCTCCCTTAACCATTGACTTTGTGATTCGTAGGAGATTTAAATTCTTCACATGTTTCACCCATCCCCTTTATAATCAGTTCCAGACCCCAAATGAGTTACGATAGAAATGTTCACACCGTCACGTGCAGACTTGCCATTTCCATTCTGCTCTTTTAAAATCTATCTCCTATACTATGCCCATAGAGATCTTCAGTTTGTAAGCTATCAGCTTCACAGGCAGAACTAAGCAGCAAACAGAACACTACTTCTGGTGAGGGACAGATGGAGGCCTTTGAGCAGCTCATTTGGGACTGGCTGTCAGGAAGTCACATGACAGTCTTTCACAATCAGGGAATGCATGGATCTGTAACTACTGGGAATGCTTAAAGAAATAACTGCACATGAAAACAGAGGATTAGTCCGACACACAAAAAACACTAGACAAGGTGCTAGGTAGGAGAGATGCACAGAACTAAAGAACTATAACAAAGAACTAAAGGGTGTTCATGATGCTAAAACTAACTAGTATAAATGGGAGCCTGTGGTTTTATATAAAAAGAGATTGAGTCACATCGGAACTCAGGAGACAGCAAACAGAGAGAAAGACTGCATCACGTTTTTTCTTTGATCGTTAGTAGCTACACTAAAACAGGAAAGAGAGCCATAAAAGAAAGGTTTAGCTAGCCAAAGAGAAAAAGATAGTGAGTCAATGAACTGTGAGGCAGCAATCTTAGAGATTAGAGAATTGTTTTTTTAAGAAGTGAAGGGATTAATAATAACAGAGCCTGTGAAGGATGACATTTAAAGAGCCTGAAAAGATGAAGGGAGAGAGACAAAACTATCTATAAACCAATCTATGAATTTATCCATGAACCACTTACAGGAAAACTGTACAAAAACCTCTATATCTCCCCCCATGAAACAATCCCCTACTTGCACGGTCATTTTGCCTATGGATTAGAAAATTTACAAGACGAAAGACTTGACCAGGCAGGCATTTTAGAAAAGATTATAGAACTAAGTATCAGATGAGAGCATATGAATGGTATTGTTCTCCCACAGGGTGTGGGACAATAACAAGGGCCTGCAGAAGTGGAGCAAGTACATCATCTTCCTTCCTGACACCCAGCTAGACTTGATCAGTGAGCCATTCTCAGGAGAAGTTGTCACTGGCTTGCCAGCCTGCATAATCACATGCCTATCGGTTAGCAAACATCTGAGCACATACCTCAGCTAAAGGAACCACCACTATGTCACCTGTAGCAACCAAAAAGTGGGAGTGCGTTAACAGAATTTGCAGATGACTAAATTGGGAGGTATTGCCAATACAGAGGAGGACTGGAATATCATACAAAAGAAGAACAGAAATGGGATGAAATTTAATAATTTGAAGTGAATGGTCATGAATTTAGAGATTAACAACAAGAATTTTTCCTATAAGCTGGGGACTTATCAGTTGGAAGCAACAGAGGAGGAGAAAGACCTGGTGTATTAGTCAATCATAGGATGACTATGAGCCACCAACATGAAGCAGCCACGAAAAAGGCCAATGCAATCCTAGGATCCATTAGGCGAGGTATTTCCAGTAGAGAAAGGGAAAAGTTATTACCATTGTACAAGACATTGGTGGGACCTGATCTGGAATACTATGCACAGTTCTGATCTTCCATATTCAAAAAGGATGAATTCAAAGGGTGATCCAAGGAATGGAGAACCTGCTTAACAAGAGGAGACCTAAGGATCTTGGCTTGTTTAGCCTAACCAAACGAAGGCTGAGGGGAGATGTGAGTGCGCTCTATAAATACATCAGAGAAATAAACACCATGGACGGAGAGGAGTTATTTAAATTAAGGGCCAATGTTGGCACAAGAACAAATGGATATAAACTGGCTATCAATAAATTTAGGTTTGAAATTAGACAGTTTTCTAACCATCTGTGACATTCCCCTCTGGTGTTATCTGGACCAGTGATCTGCTAGGTCACTCCAATCCTTGACTCTGGAAGCCAGCCTTACCCTGCTCTGCTGTGAGAACCCCCACTCCTGGGCTGTTCACACACAGCCTCTAGCATATAAGCTGCTCCCAGCTACTTGCAACTGAATGACACTAGCCAATATCTCCGGTCCCAGACACAACCCTAGGAGCCTCTGTCTTGCAGTGTCCAGTTATGCCCATTGGACGCTGCAAGCTCACATGAGTTAATCAATTTAACAGAGAAATTGATATGTACCAGGCTTGTTATCCCAAAGGGAGCCTCTGACTCACTTCAAACCAAACACACTGCTTCAGGTAGAATAAACAAACAAATGTATTAACTGTAAAGATAGATCTTAAGTGATTATAAGTCAAAACATAACAAGTCAGATTTGGACAAATGAAATAAAAGTAAAACGCATTCTAAGCTGATCTTAACACTTTCAATGCCCTTACAAACTTAGATGCTGCTCACCACAGGCTGGCTGGTTGCTCTTCAGCCAGGCTCTCCCCTTTGATCAGTGCTTCAGTCGCTTGGTGTGGTGATGTCTGTAGATGTAGGTGGAAGAGAGGAAAAGTATGGCAAATGTCACTCCCTTTTATCATGTTCTTTCTTCCCCCTTGGCTTTGCCCCCCCCCCCTTCAGAGTCAGGTGAGCATGTTAGATCATATTAAAGAAGTTCTGTATTAAAATCACAAATGAGTTTGATTCCTGTCATAAATATAAAGGGAAGGGTAAACCCCTTTAAAATCCCTCCTGGCCAGAGGAAAAATCCTCTCACCTGTAAAGGGTTAAGAAGCTAAAAGTAACCTCGCTGGCACCTGACCAAAATGACCAATGAGGAGACAAGATACTTTCAAAGGCTGGGAGGAGGGAGAAAAACAAAGGGTCTGTGTCTGTCTGTGTGATGCTTTTGCCGGAGACAGAACAGGAATGGAGTTTTAGAACTTAGTAAGTAATCTAGCTAGGTATGTGTTAGATTATGATTTCTTTAAATGGCTGAGAAAATAGCTTTGCTGAATAGAATGAATATTCCTGTCTGTGTGTCTTTTTTGTAACTTAAGGTTTTGCCTAGAGGGATTCTCTATGTTTTGAATCTAATTACCCTGTAAGGTATTCACCATCCTGATTTTACAGAGGTGATTCTTTTCTTTTTACTTCTATTAAAAGTCTTCTTGTAAGGAAACTGAATGCTTTTTCATTGTTCTGAGATCCAAGGGTTTGGGTCTATGGTCACCTATGCAAATTGGTGAGGATTTTTACCAAACCTTCCCCAGGAAGTGGGGTGCAAGGGTTGGGAGGATTTTGGGGGGAAAGACGTGTCCAAACTCCGTTTTTTCAGGAACCCAGATAAAGTTTGGTGGTGGCAGTGGAAATCCAAGGGGAAAGGGTAAAATTAATTTGTACCTCGGGGAAGTTTTAACCTAAGCTGGTAAAAGTAAGCTTAGGAGGTTTTCATGCAGGTCCCCACATCTGTACCCTAGAGTTCAGAGTGGGGAAGGAACCTTGACAATTCCCCATAGTTTAAATTCCAAGGTATTACTAATTAAGAGGTCTCTTGGTTTTTGGTACTGTTTCTCTCTCTCTATGTGTGAAACTTGCAAGCTGCTAATTGTGTTAGTACATTCTAAGACAGAGTCTGTTCTCAAAGCAATTCTTTGTAACAACCACTACTCACACAGAGAGAGACTCAAAGCAATACTCTGTAACAACAGAAACAGCACCCAGAGACTCCCCGCCCTTTTGTTGTATTCATCTTGCTTTGTTAACAATTGTGATTAAAATAGAGATAGAGGATGTATGTGGACGGATGCTTGGTGTGGATAATAACTGAATGATCAGGGAGGTGCCAGCCTAAGAATCCAGTGTCCATCGGCTGAAGAAGGCGTCAAGTGGAAATAACCAGAGGACCCCCAGAGGGCAGACTGGAATCCACCCAACAGCCTCAAGAATGGGAGAACCAAAGAACATGATAACATCTGGCAGCACGGAGCTGTCAGGAATATGCCATCTGCTGATTGATTCAGTAACAGCATGATGAAGCAATTCCCATAGACTGGCATAGGAAGAAATTCCTATAAAAATGGACTCTAGAAAGCGAGAACTTTGGGGTCTGATTCTGCAAACCAACTTCCAGGAGCATCAGATGTGCATCTGACAAGGCCCTGCTCCCTCCTCACCTCCAGGCCACCTGGCCAGTGGCTTGGCATGAGTAACTCTAGGCTGGTAACTATGATAACCTTGCAGAACCTCTGTCTGTCTGTCTGTCTGTGTGTGTGTGTGTATGTGAATAAATATGAAATTGAATGGAATGTTATAGCTATAACTAACTGCTTACTATGATTCTTTCTGTATTCACAATAAATGTGGCATTTTGCCTTTTCCCCTTTAATAAGATCCTGCTGGTTTTTATTTTATTGGTATAACAAGCATTACTGAGTCTCTCCAAGCAAGGTTGAGCAATTCCTCTGGTGTGGCCTCATGCAGGTGAGTCATTGCATTGTAGCTCCCTTGCTGGACAATGGCTGTTGATGGGTTGTTTGACACCCTGCCTGGGCGTTGGTTACTTTCCTTGCTGTTGCCTTAGGGGAGCTAATATCTGGCTGATTCCCCCAACTTACAGCATGTTTTAGTGACAACCATACTACATAATTCTCATAACTTCAGATAAATTAATGATATACACCTATGGATAGAGAAATGACTTTCAGCAGATCATAACCTTTCCCCTGATACCTTACAAGGCATGCTTTATATGTAAGAGCATGATTATATGAAAATGGGGAATATGGGGGTTACAGCATGCTCCCCCAAGGTATAGAATGTCACAACATCAGAGGAGTGAAGTTCTGGAACAGCCTTCCAAGGAGAGGGGATGGTACGATGAGTTTTATATGGCTCATCCAAGACTGCTAGTAGCAAATATCTCCAATAGCTGGAGATGGGAGATTAGATGGGAAGGGCTCTGAGTTGCTACAGAGAATTCTTTCCCAGGTGTTGGGCTGGTGGGTCTCACCCACATGCTCAGGGTCTAACTGATCACCATCAGGATGGGGTCAGGAAGGAATTTTCCCCCAGGTCAGATCAGCACAGACTCTGGGGATTTTTCACCTTCCTCTGCGCTGTGAGACATGGGTCACTTGCTGTTTTGAACTAGAGTGAATGGTGGATTCTCTTTAACTTGAATTCTTTGAATAATTATTTGAAGACTTCAGTAACTCAGCCAGAGGTTGGGGTCTATTACAGGAGTGGATGAACAAGGTTCTGTGGCCTGCCGTGTGCAGGAGATCAGACTAGATGATCATGATGTTCCTTCTGGCCTTAAAGTCTAAGAGAATCCTATAGCTAATTTTAACCCAGGTAGTTAGTCTAGTCCAGCGGTTCTCAAACTGTGGGTCAAGACCCCAAAGTGGGCCGCGAACCCTTTTTAATGGGGTTTCTAGGGCTGGCGTTAGACTTGCTGGGGCCTGGGGCTGAAGCTGAAGCTTGAGCCCAAAGCCAATGCCTGAGCCCCACTGCCCAGTGCCAAAGCCTAAGGGCTTCAGCCCGGGGTGTCGAGGCTCAGGTTACAGCTGTTCCATCTGGGGCTGAAGCTCTTGGGCTTCGGTCTCCCCACCCTGGGTGGTGGGGCGCAGGCTTTGTCTTTGTCTCCCCTCCCCCTCCACCCTACCCAGGGCAGCAGGGCTCAGGTGGGCTCAGGCTTTGGTACCCCTTCCTGGGGTCGTGCAGTAATTTTTGTGGTTAGAAGGGGGTTGCGGTGCAATGAAGTTTGAGAGCCCTGGTCTAGTCATTTGTCAATATACGTCAGCCTGTGAACTCAGGAGCACAGAAACAATAGAGAATAAGAAGCATCAGGCTCTTCTGGGACTAAACAACCATCCCCTTATCCTGTTATTCTTCTCAGTCTAGTTAACAAGATTCCATTACCATAACCCTTATTAAGTGAATCTATTTAACCTTCACCAGCTTATTACACAAGACATCAAGAGAAACAAGAATGATGCAATATCAGAGGACAGAGATTCTTACAAAAAAAAGTTTAGATGGAAAAACATAAGATGACATTCCTAAAAATCGATTTTGTCTGATTTAGTTCAATTCTTCCCCTGAAATATTCAATGCCTCAGTGATCTCTTCAGGAAATTCTCCTATTTATAAAAATAAATTCATCCCATCAGAGAAGAGAAACTATTACTATGTGATTTATGTGAGCAATCACATGACTAAATTCTAAATATTGAATATCTGAAAGGACTCACTCTGGACAGTTTTCAGATAAGCCATGGGCACATATATTGTATGTTCATAAATGTTTGGAAAAAATTATGAACAAACAAGTTAGTAGGAATTCCAATCTGCTTGTGGACAATTTATGAATAGAAAACAAGGACAGATCCAATAAATTCATTGTTCACAATGAATAGTACATCCAGCTCTGCTCTTATTTCTTGTCCAGTTAAGTGCAGCTTCAGTTTCTTTCTCCCTCTCCCCATTCATCCCCAACAATTTCTAACTGCCTTTCTTGTTCTGTTTGTGGAAAAATATTGTAGTCATCTCTGGCTATGAACATTCTTTTTGAACCAAGTTCTTATTAGCTTGAAAGCCTCACCTGATTTATTATTAAAAAATTCAACTGTAAATGAATTATGCATCACAATTTAGGCATGTTTTAAAAGCCTGTGGGCCATATTCTGCTCTCAGTTATGCATGTACATTGACCTTCACCTACGTTACTGAATGCTGTTTATGGAGATGTGGATTATTTGTGAACAGTTTAATGACAAGTTGAAGAGTCATTCCCAAGAGGCTATGCTTCAGGACATCCTAGACTTTTGACCCAAATATGGCAATAAATAGAATGTCATGAGAACTGCACAACTATCAATAGTCCTTGTCTTCTGTCTGTATGCTGCATACAGTATGTATTTGTGTCTTTGGACAGTCAGCTTCTTGGGGCAAGGACTGCGTGTTTTGCGAGATTTCATATGATCTACTTCATCAGCTGTAAACTGTCGCATTCATCTGTAAAAGAATTGCCTCCTGCTCCTTCTGAGGCAAGTAACCTCCCTTTTTCTCCTTAAAATTGATCCTTAAAAATATACTCCATGTGTTTACACTGTTGCACAAAGCCTTCCAATGTTATTCTTCTTGACAGCACCTTTGTGTACTTCAGTTTTAACTAATGTCTTAGAGCAGATTACAGGGAACTGCTCTTTGATGTATTGGTGAAGTGCTTCATATGCTTACTGTATTCTATAAGTAATTGTCATAGCTCTTGCTCCTTAACCAGTCTAACCAAATGGCAGCCCTATATTCCAGGTTATCCGAAGTGCCCGGGATTTACTCTCTCAACAAAGCACAGGACAGAAAGTACAATCAATCCCCTAAGAAATCCTTTGGGAAATGCCTTTGTGATTCTGTCTTTGAGAATTTCCCATGTGAAAGCTCTCACTTGGGAAGCATATTATTACTACCATCCATATCTTGCTGGCAGACATCAGATCCTGAAAGCTATACCAGAAGGCATTTAGATGAAGGCTTCATTTCA